GAAGTTGAACTTCTGTAATTATCAAACTAAGTCAGAATCAAGTCATTAAGGGCTTATGGCTTGTGAGAAGCCTTAAGACGTAAATCGTAAAAGGAAAATGTAGTCTTTATGCTTATGCTTATGAGCTTTGAATGTTGATATGCTTGCTGGTCCTAAATCAGATTGTGATCTGCTGTGTGTTGGACTTGAGCTGTGTGGACTCTTGGCATTGGATAGTGAGCTTGCGATGTAAGCTTTCGTGTCCTCGGTTTAGCCATGTTGTGGTTCCACCATGTCCCATGGGGGTATGGTTATATGCATGCTGTGTTACATGTTTTTGATGTTTTGGAAATGCTGTTGAGCTGTTATATGCTAGTGCCTTTATGATATGCATATGGTGTTCCAGCTATACGGTAAGCCTGAGTATGTGGTACATACAAGATGGTGAGGCTGTGGGTGAGGTGCAAGTGGTGTTCCTTGTACTACGTGTGGGTAATAGACGTATTCCTGCATTTCTCTGGCCAGTAGAATAGTATTGACACACATGGCATGAATATCTATTGCACTGCATAGTTTTGGGAACTGATATTGATATTACTGCTTTTAGAACTTATATTGCACATGTAAGTGAGTTTGGGGTGGAAGATCCTTGAGGACCCATTGACTTACTGAGATTTCTGGTTTAGATATCTCACCCCACGTTTGGGGAATGCTTATTTCAGGTTCAGGTAATGCGGGAGTTGAGACCTCTAGTGGCAGAAGGCCAGAGCTTAGTTGATAGAAGTTGCATGTTTATGCTGCTATGTTTGATGCTGGATCCTATTTACTGTCTTATGCTTTTAGCTTCAGTTTACGGATTATTATGTTGAGACTTGGTTGATGATGTCGTTGATTTGGTGAGCATGGAGATTGTCCATGCTACATAGACTCGTTTATGTCTTATTTTATTTGGAGTGGTAATAATGTATCAGGATGTTGTCCGAATTATGTGTTGTAATTCCGTGACTTAGATACTCACATCTATATCTATATTTTGAGGTATTTCAGTTAGATGTCTTATTGCAATTTACATACAGGCGATATTTGAAAAGAAAAAGCATTTTTGATTAAGGGCAGCTTAATACGATAGTATGATAACATTACCGGGTATACACAGGGTGTTACACTAATATTCAGTCAGATATTTTTTAGAAACTTAATTTTGCCTTTATATATGGATAATCTTTGTCATAAGTAAATTTTTTTTTCTTTATTTTTCTAGAGGAATACTAAAATAAAAAAAAATATATATCACAAAAGCTTAGTGACAAATAAAATACTACCTAATAGTAAAAAAAAAAAACTAACCCGCGGGCCAACCCGACCCGCCACCAACCCATTTTGACCCACTACTAAACGGGGCAGGTTGGTGGGTTGAAAAGTGTAACCCAACCCGCCCCGTTTTGGCGGGTTGACCCGTCGGGTTCAATCCATATTGCCACCTACAGCTGACAATGAGAGCGATGAGGAGGAGATGAGGTTGTTGTGTCTATGTCATTATTGAGAGGTTTAAAAGTGTGGTTGGAAGTATCAACATGTAGTGTTTGGTTGGAGGTTGTGTTTGGGCTTACAGACATAGGTTGTGGTGATGGCAAGTTTGGATAAAAGGGATCAAGATCATCAAGGGGAGATATAGGTATGTTGGGTTTGACAATGACATCTTAGGCTGCACTATTGTGGTTAGTAGAAAATGGGAAGCAAGTTTCATAAAAGATAATATTGTGTGTAATAAAAATATGATGAGAAGACAAATCAAAAAGAAAGTACCCTTTGGTTCTCATTTTATAGCCCAGAAAAATACACTTGCGTGCTAGTGGGGAGAATTTGGTACGTGCAACAAGAATTGCTTTAGCATAACAAAGACAACCAAAAACTTTTAGATGTGCAAATGTGGGAGGTGTACCATGAAGGACTTTGAATAGGGTTCTACAATGAAGAACTGATGTGCTAACCCTGTTGATTAGGTGGATCGCATGCAATATGCAAAAAGACCATAACTTGAGAAAAACCTTGGCTTGGAAAATTAATGCTCTTGCAACATTGAGGATATGTTTATATTTCCTTTCTACACACCGTTTTGTTTTGGAGTATAAACATAAAAGGTTTGATGTATAATGCCCTTGCTAGAATAAAATTGTTCCATCATGAATTCAACACCATGGTCACTTCAAATGGTTTTAGCAAAAGCATCAAATTGGTTTTCAACCATAGTAAAAAAAATTCGTAGGTGCAACCTTGTTTCTCCTTTATTTTGCATCAAAACTACCCAAGTGAATTTGGAAAAATCATCCATAAGCGTTAAGAAATATCTCTCTCCATTAACAAAAGTACACGAAAATGGCCCACATATGTATGCATGTATCAATTCGAACGACTTGTAGGAAACATCGGTACTAGAGTAAATACCATTTTTGGTCCCTAACAAAAAACACGGTCCCCACTTTAGTCCCTTACAAAAAATAATTAGTCTCGAGGTCCGTAACAAATTCAAAGTGGACCTATTTAGTTGAAATCGTGGTCCCTCACAAATTCAAAAAGGACCCACATTAGTCCCTTAAAAGGACTAAAATAAATCCGCTTTGAATTTTATAGGAACCGACTGAGTAATTTTTTCTTGTAAGGGACTAAAGTGAAGATCATATTTTTTGTTAGGGACCAAAAATGATATTTTATCCAGGTACTATTATTAAATGACAGTTTACGCTATTTTGCAAAGTGACAATTATCACAAGGCATCTTAGATTTATTACAACTGATAAAATGGAATTTCTTACACATATCAGTCATAACTTAATTCGAAATATGTCCTAGATGATAGTTCCATAACAAAGAACTATCAATTGTAGTGCTAAGTGCACATTTATTCTGAACACTTGCTTCCTTATTTGCTGGTTTTCCTTTGAGCATCATCACAAATAGACCTCTATGTAATTTAGCTGAACTATTCACTTGGCCCGAAGCTATCTATTTGATTGAACACATGCAACCATGAAAGGTGAGCTCACAAGAAATTGATAAAAGTAGCTTTGCAACTGAGATCAAATTCATATGAAATTCAGAAACATATAATGTGTCATTAAGTTGTAAACATCCAAACAAAATTACGATGCATGAATAGTTAGCAACGACTTTGTGATTATTAAGCAACATAATCGCAACTAGTTCACTTTTCTTAAATGAAGAGAAGAATAAACCTACTGAACATATATGATCTGTAGCTTCTGTATCGATTATCCAATGATTAAAATTCTTACAAGAGGAATTGGTATTGAACGTTGCACCATGCTTTGTTTGAGCTTAATATAGAGAATAGTTGTTAGCATCAGTTACACTGTCAATCTTGGATTAACTTATCATTTCAAGGAAATTTTGATACTCTTGTTGAGTGATGGATACTTTGGCAGGTTCTTGAACTTCACATAACATAACTTAACTTAACATAACATAACATCATCTAACGGCTCAGAATGGCCCTTGGGTCAGAATTCCACATAAGTAACCCCGTACTCGATCTTTCCCCTAACAGGTCATCATTTTTCCGACCCGATTCGGATAATGATACCCGGTGACCCGATAGAAACTATACAGAAAGCAAAAGCCCAAAATGGATAACCAGAAACCCTTCCATTGATCCAAACCAAATGGCGTCAATCCATCATCTTCTTCTACCGTGCCACCTCCAAGCTCGAAACTTTCACCCTTCAAATCCATGGAAGACCCAAACCCGAATCAGATTCACAAACCCAAATGCAGTTAAAGCCTCCACCGTCGAATCCCCAACGGCAAAACGACGCGGCAGGAAGAAGAAGGAGAAGCTAGTGTCGTCTCCTTCCGAAACGACAACAACAACAACCCAGGTTCCACAAAACGACACCTCGAAACCCCAAAACGCAACACCACCACCATCTTCCGCTTTCTTTTGCAAGACCTCATGCTCGGACCCGAACTTATTTTTAAATTCCTCCAGTTCTTGAACATAAGTTGATAATTCATTGCGGACGATTAGATGGAGTAGAGCCATCTCATAATATAGGTGGTAGAGTTGAGCGAAGAATCCTTTAACGCCACTTATTTCTTAATCAACTCATATGTGGAGATCCTATTTTCCACGAAGATCAGCAGTGAAATAGGGTTTGAGCTTGTCATGGTCTATTTTCTGATCGTTATAAAAGGAAGTAAAGGTGTGTAGAGTGAGAAAAAGAGATAGACGAAGGAGAGGAGAGACACTTGATAAAAAAATATAGATGTAAGTCCCACATTGAAAAGATATAAGTTTTGTATTTAAAAGGATAAATATTTTTTTCAATATATATATATATATGAGAAAAATATTTTTTATTTTAAATGAGATAAAATTACGTTATTTTAAGAGAGACAGACACAAGAAATTATTTTTATTTAAAATTTAAATTAAAAAAATCACACACTTTCTCTCCCATGATTTTCATTTCTTATGTTTATCTTTTTCCTAAAATGATATAACTTATGTCATTTAAAATAACAAACATCAAACCCTATATATATATAAGTAGGATATTCTTATACCGGTATATATATATATATATATTTTTTTTTTCTAAAATTTCTTAAAAAAAGAAGAGTTAAAAAATATATGAGAAAGTAGATTATTTCATCTCAAATATTATATTAAATTTTGTATACAGTTTGAAGATAAATAATTAAAAAAATAATAATTAGTGGATGCATGGTTTCTCTTTATTTTTCCATTAAAAATTAATCCTTACAATATTTTAATTATGTTATTTAAAACAAATTATAAATAAACTAATTCAAATTCAGGTTATAAAAAGAAAAACGAAAAAAAGAAAGACAAACACTATAACAGAAAAAGCAGTAAAAAAGATCGTGGAAGAATGGTGTCCACAAATGCATGGCGGCATGGCAGAATCAGCACCATTCATTTCCTGTGCAAGATTCCAAAGTTGTTAACGCCTTCTCAAAGAAACACAGAGACATGTCACCTTTGAGGATAATCAAGAATACAAACGCTTCCATCACTCCCATGTCTTTATATATAGCATTGAAAGCCACTTCAACATCTCATCCAAATCGCTTACTACTAACTCTTAAATCTCATCCTAACCTTTTCCATTCTCAATCCGTGATGGGCATGGTATTTGGAAAGATTGGTGTTGAGACACCGAAATTTGAAGTGATCAAATCCACACATGAATATGAAATCCGCAAGTATGCACCATCTGTGGTGGCTGAAGTCACATATGAACCATCACAGTTCAAGGGTAACAAAGATGGTGGTTTCATGGTTTTGGCCAATTATATTGGCGCTTTAGGGAACCCCCAGAACACCAAGCCTGAAAAGATTGCCATGACTGCGCCAGTTATAACGAAGGACACAAGTGTTTCTGGTGAAAAGGTTGCTATGACAGCCCCAGTTGTGACAAAGGGTGGTGGTGGTGATGGTGAAGAAGGGAAGAATAAGATGGTGACTATGCAGTTCATTTTGCCAGCCATGTATGGTAAAGCTGAGGAGGCTCCTAAGCCCATTGATGAGAGGGTTGTGATCAGAGAAGAGGGTGAGAGGAAATATGGGGTGGTGAAGTTTGGAGGAGTGGCAACAGAGGAAGTGGTGAGGGATAAGGTTGAGAGGCTAAGGATTAGTTTGGAGAGTGATGGGTTTAAGGTTATTGGAGATTTCTTGTTGGCTAGGTACAACCCACCTTGGACAGTACCTGCTTTCAGGACTAATGAGGTTATGATACCAGTTGAATGAACATGGTGGATGTTGTTTGAAGTTATAGATTTCAGTAACTTTCTGTTTGTTGGGTTCCTTTTCTTCTTCTTGATGTTAATGTTAAGAACTTTAGACCATGTTGTAGATTTTGTCGACTGTTATTTTATTCAATTACACACAACATAATGGCAAATGAATGTTTTGATATGCCAGGTTTTTTTCTTGACTGTCTATGTTTGGTTGGTACCATTCCAGTTATCATATCTTAGTCTTACCACTTCATTCATTGCAGAACTCAGTTTTTCTGGAGTACAAATTCTAGTGACTTATATTTCAATTGACACGAATAAGCTGCTAATGGTTAATATATTTTACAATCCATGTTCCATAGTTACTAATGTCTCACAAGCTAATAAACCAAAATAAATTACAAATTCAAAGGGAATTGAGAATGATAATCAAGGTACATTCAATCCTGATACAGCTGATGAATTTGCATATTATACCTCAATTGAATTTTACAAGATTGTCAACTATTCAGGAAGCTTAAAACACAAAATTTACATATTATACACACAAAAGAGTTTACAACTTCAATGTCGTTACATTCAAGTTATCCACTGAACAGTTTCACTATAATAGTGATCATATTGAGAAGTATAAGGGGAAGTCTCAAGAATTGACAGGCATATATGAGTCCTATCACTTGCCCTTTAAGCGAATTCCTCCTAGGTCCTGTCATTTCTGCTAATGTCCATCCTCTTGGAGCAAGGAACCGCTCCTCATTCAATATTGCCAATGCATTTGCAAAGAGCAGAAAAGCTTCTAGCAAAGTCCAGAAACCCATCTTCTGCCAGAAATACAAAAGGTGTGCATCTTAGGACCCAGATAAAAGCTTCACAAATTACAGTCTTTGTCACAGAAGATCAGTTAGAGAAATTCAAATATCAATGTCAATGCACAACCTAAAGATAAACATCTCACAAGCAAATCCTAAGGTCATTATCGATGGTAGCTAACAGTCTACATGGCTTGAACTGCAAACAAGGTTTTGCCAATGCTTTAGTTCCATTGGATATCGATCAATAAAGCCAAAATCAAACATATCTAAGTAGTGCAATGCATGTCATACTAGCGTATCTTGACTAGGCTTAGCTAGATAAATATCAATATCTAACAATATCTTTATCCCAAACTAATGACAGTCAGCGGCAAATGAATCCAAACGACAAGTTAGAAAAGATTGAGAGAATTAGATGGATATGCAGATGAAAAGCTTAGTGTAACATTGTACACACAATTAACAATTGCATGTAAAATTTTGTGGAGAAAATACAAAGAGATGATGTCAACATGTTCCTTCCCTCTACAATCCTACATGGCCCTTAAATATGAGAGTGCAATGCATCTCATATTTTGCCTATCCTGACTAGACTCCGCTAGATGTGAATGCAAACACAAACTAGTATAACAGACTACAGTTCTATACAAACAATTGAATGTAAAATATTAGAGAGAATAGAAGGACATCCATAAATACTCCTACATCGAAACCAACCTTCAAACACTATATAGTAAATTACTTGCTAACATATACTCATTTTACAAAGAACTTAGAAAAGTCTGACCAAATGCAAGCTGTTATTCTTGGGCATCACAACTTCCCAATCTGGTTGGAGCAACAATTACAGTGGCTTTAAAAATATCCATTCTTTAGAAACAAACCACACTATGAGATGGCCAGAAGGGGGGGGGGGGGGGGGCTAGATTATTACCTCATATCACAAACAGAGTGCACAAATACATAAAAAACCAAATCATGGTGAACAATAAGGAGCCCAGACAACAGAACTTCAAGCTCTATATGGGCAAAGATTTTAGGATAACGAATTTTGTCTCTTCTTCAAACTTAAAATGACCGCAAAGCACATGATTCTTACTATGCGATGGTACAGGATACTCCATGCCACAAAATCACCGCAAAAAAGCTGCATGACATTGCTGATTAACAATTATATACAGCAAGATAACAAAGAGATCTCAGTAAGTTCTGGTTATCTTCAATTCCTATAGGAAGTTACAGATAGATAACGCAGTTTCTCAGTAACATCACTGATCCAAAAATCTAACCATGTAAGAATAAAAAGTTCATTTTTTTTTGTGTGAACGATTTACAAGGCTTATTTTTTAGAATATAGCATGTAAAACAGATCAAGGAACAAGCATCTCAGACCAGTCAATTCACATAAGGTTCTTCACTGACACTAAACAATGTGGCTTACAAAATTTTCGTTTTCTCAGAAGCAAATCAGTGAACTACAGTCAGAGGTTCTTAACACTCAGAACACCAATAGCACAACCCGAACTCAACATGCACAAAACCATATAAAATTGTAAATTTCCCCAAAATACCAACTCATAAGAACAACAGTACGGACATAATATCAGTTAAAACGAATTTTATCCAAAACCACAAAACTAAAATCACCCAAATAAAAAAAAAAACAAAAAAACGATGTCAACGGGTTGCAAACTTGCTATGCTCACTGAGACAAAAAAAATTAACAGAAAGGTTGAATTTTTCACTAACTTCCTCTAACAGAAGTTTAATCATAAATAAAAACCAAACCAAAAAACGAGATGAGTTTCTCACCTGTTAGAAAGAAAAAGTAAAAAGGAAGATGGAACCTACGAAGTCTCAAAACTAGAAACTGAAAAAACCCACTCTCTTAAGAAAGAAATTTCGAGAAAGATCATCCTAGGATTCTGCGAAAACATAACTTAACACAACATCATCTAACGGCTCAGAATGGCCCTTGGGTCAGAATCCCACATAAGTAACCCCGTACTCGATCTTTCCCCTAACGGGTTATCATTATTCCGACCCGATTCGGATAATGATACCCGATGACCCGATAGAACAATACAGAAAGCAAAAGCCCAAAATGGATAACCATAAACCCTTCCATTGATCCAAACCAAATGGCGTCAATCCATCATCTTCTTCTACCGTGCCACCTCCAAATTCGAAACTTTCACCCTTCAAATCCATGGAAGACCCAAACCCGAACCAGATTCACAAACCCAAATGCAGTCAAAGCCTCCACCGTCGAATCCCCAACGCCAAAACGACGCGGCAGGAAGAAGAAGGAGAAGCCAGTGTCGTCTCCTTCCGAAACGACAACAACAACCCAGGTTCCACAAAACGACACCTCGAAACCCCAAAACGCAACACCACCGGAAGAAGAAGGAGAACTCGAAGACTACGACGACGACATAGATTTCCCTTACCAGGAACCTCCATTGATATGCTGCTTCGGCGCAGTACGGAAGGAGTTTCTCCCTTCGGTGCGGGTGCACCAGTACCCAATGGACCCGGACATATATTCGGAGTGGAAGATGCTGCAATGGAAGCCGCCGGAGTTCGCACGTGCCCCCGGCGGGCCTCCGTCGAACGTGGCGGTGGCACATGTGAGGCTCGGTGGACGCGCCGCCTTCTTGGGGAAGGTTGGTGAAGACGAGTTTGGAGAAGAACTTGTTTTGAAGATGAACGAAGAGAAGGTTCAGACTAGGGGTGTTAAGTTTGATTCTGGTTTTAGAACTGGTTGTACTTACATGAAGGTTAAGTTTGAAGATGGGAAGATGAGAATGGAAACTGTTAAATATTCTGCTGAGGATTCTCTTCATGGGTCTGAACTGAACCTTTCTGTTTTAAAAGAGGTTTGTTTGTTGCTATTTAAGTATATATGTAAATGAAAATTGTTGTTTGGATTAGAGTTATGACCACATGTCAACCTAAATCAACTATAAAATTTGTTTTAACCAAAAATTGAGGTACCAATTTCGTTTAATTTGTGAATGAATACCTTAAAGATTAGTGGGAAGGTAATGATAATTGCTTTTGAGTTGGGTTGGAAGTTGTAACTCTTTGGTTTATTGGAGTTTTCCTGCAAATATTTTTTTTTTTTTGGGTGAAATTGATTTTGTAAACTTGATTTGTTTTCTTTGATAATTTTGAGCTTAAATGTTTTCAGCGGGGATTAGTTTGATATGAACTTTGGTATATAGATTTCCTGATTGTTTGGTTGATGGATTTTCACACTGCAGCTGTATTTTTCCAAGGACTCAAACATGCTTTTGTTAACTTTGTATGGACTTGTTAATGCAGTGAACAATTTTTCGATTGTGTGTGTGGAGGTACCAAGCGTTTGTTTTGAGCATTTTTTGTTTTAAATCTGCTGCCTTGTTGATGAAAAGGTGATGAACATAGCAGTTAATATTTTGATGTAATGGAATTTATTAGGTGGATTGCTTCATCAGTTAAGGTGCTATGAGGGTAAAAAGGCAAATCCTAATGTACAAGGCTTTCCTACTTGTGAGGGTAGGGGGTGAGGGTTGCAGCCTTATCCTAGCATTTTTTGTAAAGAGGTTATTTCCCAGCCTTGAACCCGTGACTTTCCTTTTGCTAAAAGGAGTAACCTTAGCGCTCCAAGGCTAGCCCTCTAGTTAAGATGCTATGAGGATGGATGTAAAATTAAGATGTGCTTAGTATGAGTAAAAGTAAAAGGAATTGTTAAGAAGAAAGTTAAGATCAGCAGATTAATACATCTTGCATCATATTTGAATATATTGGCAATTTTGAATCTTCCCCCCTTCCATTGCTTCTGTTTTCACTTAAATCAAACCCACATTTCATTTTGATGTTATAAAACCTGTAGGCCAGGGTAACTTTTTCTCTTAGGTTAGGTGGTATATATACATTGGTGGCAATGGTAATAATTTGTTAGTTACGAGGAAGACTCTTCTGCCTGCACATGTTCACCGTATGAAGTGTGAACTGAATTTGTTGTGACTTCTTTTGTGTGGACTACTGCAGGCTAGGATTTTCCATTTCAATTCAGAAGTTCTAATATGCCCCTCATTGGAATCAACTCTATTCAGAGCAATTAAGTGGTCTAAGAAGTTCGGTGGCCTTGTATTTTTTGATTTAAATCTGCCATTACCTCTGTGGAGATCGCGTGATGAGACAAGAGAACTTATCAGAAAAGCATGGAATGAAGCAAACATCATTGAAGTTTCAAGATCTGAGCTAGAATTCCTTCTAGATGAAGAATTTTTTGAGAGGAAGAGAAACTATCGGCCACAGTACTATGCTCCAAGTTATGAAGAAACCAAAGATCGAGGAGAGTATTACCATTACACTGCTGAGGAGATCTCACCATTGTGGCATGGTGGACTTAAATTCCTGTTTGTGACTGATGGAACAATTAGAATTCACTACTATACCCCTTCTTTTGATGGGTCTGTGGTTGGAACTGAAGATGTGCTCATAACCCCATATACTTGTGATAGGACTGGTTCGGGTGATGCTGTTGTTGCTGCTATTCTAAGAAAACTAACTACTTGCCCAGAAATGTTTGAAAACCAAGATATTTTGGAGAGGCAACTACGTTTTGCTGTTGCAGCAGGAATTATAGCTCAATGGACTATTGGTGCAGTTAGAGGTTTACCTACTGAAAGTGCTACACAGAATCTCAAAGAACAAGTTTATGTGCCTTCAATGTGGTGATAAAAATTGTGAGCTTAGCAGAGTCATGAGGCATTAGTTGGTAGTTATTGTTTGATTATTTATTTACATCTTATCCATGAGTGTTTCATCTCAAATGTGAGCAAGCAGAAGAACACTACCAAGATTGAACAAATTGTTTGCTTGTTTACTTTGGCTCCAACTCATGTCATCTAATATCACTTCTAAATGAGCAGGTGATGGGTGTCAATTGAAAATTTTTGTTGGTGAGAATTCCTCATTGTTTACCTTCTGCTTTAGTTTTATGTGCCTTTCTGCATTCTGTACAAGCCAGAATCCACACACACACACACACATAATAGGATCAACTTACATCGGATAAAAATAATAAGTTTTATATCCAATTATAGTCATTGATCAATGTGCCTCTAACGATTATAATTTTTATTATTGTATAAGTTGATCCTCCATAATATATATATGGAGTAGGATATTCTTACACCATTATAAGAGTTAGAAGTCTTACACTCGATCTTGAGTATTGATCCACTTGTATCCAATGGTTCACATTACTAAAAAATTAGAGTCCTTAGATATAAGAATGATCAATGATCAAGATTGAGAGTGTAACTTATACTGGTGTAAAATGATCTTAACTATATATATATATATATATATATATAGGAGTTTATGGATATTATGTCATATGATAAAGCTTTCATCATGCCACTCTCACAATGCAAGTGGATCCCACTAGTTTTTATAAAAAACAAAAAATAAAAAAGTGATGCACGAATATCGATCTATGTGCAGGAAGCAAGAGTACATTTTATGTAACATTACCAAATGATTTTCCATATATATATATATATATAATTTTTTTTTAGGACCTTTTTAGTTTTTATGCTTGATTTCTTTGGGTCACTCCTTTCAAAATAGCCTATGTGATTTCTATTGTTTACTTTTATTTTGGAGTATGGTCTAATATAATAGATAAAAGGGAAAAGTTCAAAAAAATCTCTTATGGTTTCTCTTAGAATCATTTAATCTCTTTATGTTTTTTTTAATCATTTATTTCTATGATTTTTTCCATCCTGTCCATTTTCTAACACTTAAAAATTAAATGAGACTATTTATTTTGCCCATATAAAAAGAATCACTATCAAATTATCTATTATTGTATTCCTTCTCACCTTTTACAATTTCTTGGGTTTTTTTTTTATTTTCTACCCTTTATTAATTAAAAAATTACTACTTTACTCTTGTTCCAAAACTATATACCAAAAACACTTTATCAATTAATTGTACAAAAAAATATATTATAATCGACTACTCAGCATTTATGTAATCCCAAAGAGGGGTTCCAACGCCAGTGCCCTGACACGACAGAGTCCCTAGTCAGTAGTCATTACGTCTTTTGCTCCATTGAAGGTGCACTATATTCTGTCATTCCTCTTTATCTTCTTTTTGTTTTATTTTTATGAAATAAAATTCTATATGGAGATGTTGTAATGGCCGCTATACACACATCTCAACATTCTTTCCATTATGTAGACTCCATCCAACCCAAACATATTCTTTCCTTTTTTCATATAATTTATCTTCTTTATATTAAAGGTGATCTCAATTCTCAAAGCCTATTCTTTCTTTTCGTCTGTTCATCTCCCTTTGCCCATGGCAAACAAACACAAAAAAGGAAAAAATATATATAAAAAATAGGGAAAACCAGCTTCGTAGAAAGAGTGACAAAAGCACAAAGAAAGTCATGGTATTATTAGAGGTGGTAATGTGGACGGGTCGAGCCCGCCATCAACTCGTCAAAAAATGAGCGAATCTGCCATATCTCACTTTTGAAAGTGGATTGAAAAATTCAGTTTGCCTCGTCCCGTTTGACTGATGGGCTCACTATTCCGAATCTATTGTACACTTATCTATCTCGGTCAGTCGAGCCAAACTCATTTTGTCGGCTCTAGGTATTACTGTATTAGTCACCAAGAAGCACAGACACTTGTAAAAACATGAAGAGTCGGGTTCGACACGCTCCGACATGGCGACACGCTCTGCACGGTATCAGACACGCAGTTGACTTTTTCCGACACGTTGACCATTCCGACACGCGAATTTGACTCTGTCCGACACGGTCAAATGGCATTTTCGTAATTTTTTTTTTTTTTTAATTTTTTTAAAAAAAATTATTTTTTTAAAAAGTTAAAATATATTAATAAAGCTTCCACCTGATCATATCAATTTTATCTTTTTGTCTTTTTTCCTCTTAAGTAGATAAGAGATCATCTCAGCATCATTATTGTCAATTCCTATCACGCTCTTGTTGTATCTTCTTCTCTCTGATCTCTCTCTAATATGATTTGATCTCTCTATCTGATATTATTATATATCTCTCTCATCCCAATTCTTATTTTTTTATTAAAGCTTTCATCTTTATAACGTGTTTATGGGTATTATTAATTTAGTTTTATTTTTTTGTTAAATTATTAAATATTAAATGAAAAATACACTATATAAATTAAAAATATTATTTAATATTAAAACGTGTCCCAACGTGTCAAAATCCATAATTTTTTAGGATTGACGTGTCAGAATGTCGTGTCGTGTCGTGTCACGTGTCGCGTGTCGTATCGGTGCTACATAGTTAGTCACAACACTGTGCGCACATGCAACGTAATAACAATAATCCAAAAAAAAATGTGGAATATACTATGTAATTCCTTTCCTTCTGTTCTGTTCAAGTTCTTAACTTGAATATGTAAAACTATGTTTCCATCATAGAATATGTAATCCCAAAGAAGGGTTCCACATGAGTCTCCACCATCTTCACGCCATGGAAGCAGCTCCGGGTTATTCAACTCATTTCTGAAGTCGTTGAGGATTTTGACGTTGTTTGGGTCGGTGGCACTGAGGACCATTGCAGGTGCTGCAAGAGAGAAGACAGGAGGAGAGTGGAAAGAAACATTGGAGAAGGCTGAGATACAAAAGTTAATCGATTAAAAATGTTGAGTAATCGATTATAATTTTTATTTTTCACACTTAATCGTTTAAGTGTTTTTGTAATCGATCAAAAAAGGTTAGATTTGTATATAATTTTGGAACAGGAATAAAGTGATTATTTTTTAATTAATAATAGACAAAGAAGTCAAAAAATCCAATTTATAAAAATTGTTTTTTTATCCAACTTCACAATAAATTATATATTGTTAATTTATTATAATATTAAGGCAAATAATCAAACATATGTTACATGTTCAAACCCTTAACTCCATCATAATATAAAATTTAACTTAAATTGAACTCTTTTTATTATAATTCAATTGACTCCTCATTTATTTGAAATTTTCTAGATTTTTATATTTTATGGTCAATTTGCTTTTCGTCGATGAGTATTGCTCATAGTTTTGAAGGTAATGTTGATGAGTACTCTACATTAATAAACCAATCTACTTCTTAATGTATTAGTATTTTTTTTCAACATTTTTATTTTCTTTGTTATCTATCTTTAGCTCATATCACCAATTAAATTTATCACTTCTTACCATAAACTTTTAACCGTTAATTTTTGTCAATCTGACGGTTATAATTTATTCAAAATTAATAATTAATTAATAAGTGTTATCCAATAATTTATAATCATTAGATTGCGAAAATCAACGGTTAAAATTTAATAGTAAGAAGTGATAAACTTAATTAGCGATAAGTATAACCTTTCTCTAAATTGGTTACTTAAATAATCTTTAATTTTAAATATTAAATTTATGATATTAATCAAACTCAAGTCAAGTCAATTTTATTAAAGATATATAAATTTGTAAGAAAAATAATAGTTATAAGTTAAGCATTTATTCTTGCAACAATATTGTGAATATTGTCTATTGGAAGATTTCAAATTAGTTGCTAACTTGCAACTTTCATTGTAATTTTTCTCTGAACATCACACGATGAAATTTTTTTTTATAGGTTGGTATAAATTTTAGAAAACAATAATAGTTTGATTAAAAAAGAATAACATTGCAGTATAAAATTCTTATTTTTATAATGATTTTTTTTGTGAGGATAAAATGGATAATTTAATTTAATTTTTAACAGAGTTAGAAGGTGCATTGGATAAAAAAATCATAGGAGGGGCTAATGATAAAAAAAAAATTAACCATAAGGGGATACGTGATTTAAAAAAAACTATAAGATATTTTTGAAATTTTCCCCCAATAATAGAAGAAATCCCACTAAGCTGCATAGACTTTTGCATATTTATCATAGCCCAAATAAAATGTGCTACAATCTTTTTATTTCCCCTGACCTCTTTTGTTTTGTTTTTTGTTTTGTTTTGGATAGGCTAAGATAGGTATGTTTTAGAAGTTCTTTTTATACAAGAGTTTTATTGCAAGGATCCGAGGTCATGAAAAATCATATACAAGTCTAGTATGTTCATAACTTACATTGTTTAAAAAGTATATATATTGAATTTTAAATCATTTAAAATAAATAAAAATATTGTCACGTAACTTATAATATCTATCATCAACCTGAATCCATAATATTTTTTTCCAATAATACGTTAGGTATAATAGCTATGAATGAATTTTTTTTTTAAATACCATTAATTTTTTATTATACATTAATTATCATTTGAAGGAAATTAGAATGAGAGAGTAAGAAAAAACAAAAGAATATCAAGGCTCCAAGACAATAAAGCCTCTCCAAGATAAAGTTGCCCTTATCTAACAAATAATTGACCAATAACACAAAAGTGCGATATTGTAATTCTAAAGACACTCGAAAATATTATATAGATGAGGTAAGTGGTTCAGGCCCAATTCTTGTCAGTGCATGGCTTTTATTTAACGACATCAAACAGTGAGTTATCAAGTCCTGAATATTAAGCCCAAACATTGGTTTGCATTTTCATTCGGAGATTTCATAAGTGAAAGATTTCAACCATTTATTCATTAACGGTTATTAATTAAAGTGATAATTTTTATTTTATTATTTTATGAATTTTTAAATTAAATTGTGACCGTTAATATGTGAATAAACGGATGAGATCTTCCACGACAAAATTTAACCTTAAGAGTGAAATAAAAAATGGTTTATGCAACCAGAAAATTTCTTATGTGGTGCTGCATTTTCATGTAGCTTTGACCACTTAAGTTGGCAGTTGACGTGACAAAAATAAGACCCATTGGAAAATATTAATTTTCACACCCTCATTTTAATAATAAATACAAAAAA